GACAGGGGCCCATGCAACACTCTCCTGAGTCCCACTTCCTGGCTCTTCCCCAAGGTGGTGCTGCTGACCAGCGCCCTCTTGAGAGAGAAACAGCAAAGCTCCCTGGCCTGCCTGCTCTGGTGTGCAGGAGTGTGAGGGCCCTTCCAGGAGGCTCTCTGCTCCAGGAACTGGGGCCGGGCTGTGGTCTCCAGGTGAACACTATTTGCAGCACAGCCCCGAGATTCCTAATGGTGAGAGTTTGCTGACAATACCATTCCTGTATCCAGTAAGACTCTTAATTTAGGAAAACATTAATTTGACCAACCTTCAATGATAAAGAGTGGAACATCACTGAGAACAAAATTTAAAGTAAAATCTAAACCCTAAGTACAGATACCGTTATGCTAATCTTAATATTCACAACCAAACCCAAAGGAGGTCCTTCCTCGGGTCCCTGGCCGGCTCTCTCATGACATCCCTCCCCAGTTCTACCAGCTGTCACGCAAATAACATTTCTCAAGCTGCAGTTTTGGCTGTCTAAGTGAAAGAGTGTTAGTGACCTTTTCTTCTGTACCCAAGAAGTGGCTCCCAGGTGCTTCTCCCAGATGGTACCGGCTCTGTGCTTCCTTTTCTCTATCTTCTCAGGAATGGAGACCAGCAGGCAAGCCCAGCCATGTCCCTGGCACGCCGCTTTGGCCTGCCATGGACCGGGGTCAGGAGACCCGACAGCTTCTCTGCAGGTCTTTGCAAGCTTGAATCAGGATTTGTCTAAAGGCCTAATTTGCTCAGAATTACTAATGCAGAGATGGCCAACAGATACTGTGTTGTTCATTAACTCTGATTGGAAGTGGCTGCCTGGAGCATTGATCAGTGAGCAAAGACTCTCAAGGCATGTGTGTGTATGAATGTGAGTGTACATGTGAGTGTACACACATGTATGTGGAGGAAATGGGGGATTCATTTCAGATACTTGCCATCGCTGACTTAAGGTGTTCATTAACTCTTTCTGTAACTGGCTGCCACATTTACAACTTGAACTCTTTGTCTTCACATTTTTTTCTGCGGTAGATGAGTGTCTGCAAACCTCAGCTAAAACATTTTGAAAATATCCTGAAACAGATTCTAGCTAGGTGTTCAACTGAGCTTCCGTGCAGGATGTGGTGAGCTGGGTCATCCCAGGAACAGCAGGATGGTGGCGGGGGAGAGTCCAGCTCCATAGAATGCTCACTAGGTACTGCTGGACGCGGTATGAAAGCCGCACTCAGCACCTCTAGTTATGAGGTGACCACTGAGTGTGCAGAGCTCAGGGTTAAGACCACGGGGGCCCCACCAGCATGTGTGATGAAGAGTATCTCTTGTGTCCCTGACTGACCAGGCTTCCACTGGGCTCTTGAGAACACAACCACTGACAATTCCTTCTGCAGAGTGGGGCTCCATGGGCATGTTCCTGGCCTGGAAACATGGCAGTTTGACCCTAGTGCTGCATGATCAAAGAAGGCGCAGTGTCTGCATGGGGATAAGGGCGATGACCTGGAAGGATGAAAGCCTCAACAGAAAACTGACTCCAAGAATGACTATGGCAGCCTGACGTTCAGGGGCGCCGGTGAGCACCCTCCTCTCATTCAACCTCCACGCCTGTTACAGACTAATCACCTGAAGCCCCTTGTGTGTGAAAATCCAAGATTCTGATGATCTTTTGTCATCTATTTTATCGAATCTTCCATTGAATGACAAGGCGAGAAGGAGAGGAAAACCTGAACCATGTTGAGTGACAGTTCTGATTGCAATCTTCAATTTCTTGTCCTGCTAGAAGGTGGAAGAGTTGCTGCACCCAGATTGCCCACCCCCCCCAGATTGGTCCCTGCCCTGTATGGAAGGGGGCCTAATGGTGGAGTAGTTATGCCCACTGGCTTTGGAAGTACACAGACATGGGTTTAACTTCCAGGCCTGCCATGTGCCAGCGTTGTAACTAAAACCTTCCCGGTCCCAGCTTCCATATCTGTAAAATGGAAGTGATGACCTACACAGAAGGTGGTGGTGGGAGGAAATGTGGTGACCCCCAAAAGAGGCTTAGGTCACTGACTGGCCCACACCAAGCACTACCCTGGGGCCCTGCTATGACTGGCATGTAAAGAGCTGCCGAGAAAGTTGCGCTGGGAGCCGGTGTGGTTCACAGAACAGAGCTCATGAGCATCAAGGCTCTCTGGATGAATGGGAAGGTGGCCCATGGAATATGGATGTCCCTGGTCACTATTATGCAAAATAGCAGGTATGTGGTTGTTGGCACTGGCACCAACCTCAACGAGGCCAAATCTGAACTCTTCACGTTCTTTCCCTAAAAGGCACCTCCTGCAGCTCCTCCATCTCCACTCTCAGCTCCCAAACCTTAACTCCTCTCTTGTCTTACACCCCGATCCACACCATGGGAAGACCTCTCTTGCCCGCATTATCATGCTGCCTCCCACGGGTTCTTCTTGCATCCACCCTCACCCACTGCTGTTTATTCTCTACTCTTTGGAAGTGTCATTAAACCAAGCGGTTTCCAATGGCAATTCAGGTTAGAAGCCAGCATACTGAGGGTAGCCTTGCAGGCCCTGCAGGATCTGCTCCGTGTCCTCTCTGACTCATCTCTGCTACCCCGACTTTGCCCATGCCCTTCCAGCCACAGTGACCTGCTCTCTGCTTCCTGAACACACCTCTGTTTCCTTCGCTGGAAGCTCTTCCCCAGGTGCCCACATGGCATGCTCCCTCGCCTCCTCCCTTACTCAGACGGTCCCCTTCTTGGGGCAGCCTTTTACAACTATTCTATTGTAAATTGTCCCCTGTGGTAGGCTTCATGATGGCCCTTAAAGATATCCATGTCCCAATTCCAGGAACCTGTGACTGTCACCTTCTATACCAAAGGGGACTTTGAAGATGTGATTAAGTTAAGGATCTCAGGGACAGGAAGATTATCCTGGATTATCTGATACTCATGAGCTCAGTGTGATCACAGGGATTCTTATAAACCAGAGGCAGAGGGAGATTTAACTACTTACATGGAGAACAGGCAGTGTGACAATAGAAGCAAAGATTAGAGTGATGCAGCTACTAGGCAAGGAGTCGGCAGCCTCTAGAAGCTGGAAGAGACCAGGAACATATGCTCCCTATGTGCCTCCAAAAGGAGCCTACCCTGCCAGCACTTTGACTTTAGCCCAATGAGATTTATTTGAAACTCGGGGTCTCGGGAACTATTTAAGAGATTAAATTTGTTCTAGGTCACCAAGTTTGTGATAATTTGTTATAGCAGCCATAGGAGGCTAATACACACCCAGGTGCATATACCCACCCCCATTCTCCAGTTTGCTTTACCTTGCCCTCCAGTCTTGTCTGACACCCTTTTTTAGGACCAGTTATCTCTCCCACTAGGGTGTCAGCTCCATGGGGGCAGGAGCCTTTTCTGTTTGTTTCCTTCTCTGATGAATCTCCAGTGCTGCATCAGGAACTGCTTTTTGTGGAATGAAGGGGTCAGGATCAGTGTGAACTCTGGTGAGGCCCTCAAAGAGGGGGAGCCCTCCTCTCGCTGAGGCCCAGGTTCCCACAGGACCCTGCCAGGCCGGCCCATTCCAGTCTACACAGGGCTCCATCCTTCTCATAGGATGCCAACACTGCCTTCCTTCCTGCCCCTCTGGAAGCTTTGAATGCTGGGAAGTGGCACGTGAGTAGAGCACATGAGCCAGGCTACACTGTGCCAGGTGCAGCTCTGGTGACCGGCAGGCCCCATCCTGTCCCATCTGCCTACGACACAGGGGAGGCCATGCCTTGCTGAGGTCTGATCCTACAGCCAGGCTTGGGGACTGACACATTCCCAGCATCAACTTTTTCCTGTGTAAACAGGAATGACATCACCATCACTGCTCCATCAAGGGGTGTGGCGAGAACTAAGCAAGATAAGTGGTTGCTAATCCACTCTCATTTTAGTGAATATTGTTTATTCTTGTTTTGTGCCAGCTGCATGCTGCTAGTCCAGAGACACAGTGGGGCCCGGGTTGGTCCTTGTGGTACTTAGGGCGGTGGCAGGGCACGGTGGGCCCAGTGAGAGGCTCTGGGGCTTGTCCTGGAGCCATATCCTAGTATACAGAGGTGCTGACCCAGGCTGTGGGGAGAGCCGGCTGCCTCCTGCTGGAAACCGCATTGACAGGCCCTTCCTGCACATGTTTCAGACAGCAGTTCCCTGAGGCTCCTGGTCCTTGGGAGCCGCCACTGCCCTCTGGATGCCATCAGTAATCTCTTTACAGGTCAGGACAACAGTGCTGAGAGCACCAGTGGTGAACTCCTAGGGCTGAGCCTATGAGAGCTCTCATACGCCAGGCCCTGAGTCTTTAATGCAGAACAGGAAACTGAGGCGGGGAGTAGGGGGGTGTCTCTAACCTGGCCTCACCTCCAGCCCCAATGGTACAGCCCTCCTGCTCCACAAAAGCCAGCAGAGGAGGCTGGTTCGGTGGTGGGTCGGCGGGGAGGGGGTGGAGGGCTGTGGTGGAAGCAGAGCTTTGAAGGTTAACAGCTCAGGACTTGGTGGTGGTTGGCAGGAAGTCAATTGCCCAACTCTGAACCTTGCGAGTCATTTGATTTTGAACACATGTCAACCTTTCCATGCCTCAGTTTACTCATCTGTAAAATGAGGGTATTAGGAGTACCAATCAAACAGGATTCTTGTGAAGCTTAATTTATATGAGAATAAACATGGAAATGGCTTGGCAGCACGCCTGGCACATGGTTAACACTCAATAAATGTTAGCTATAGTGATGCAACGTGGGTGATGACGACGGCACCAGTGGGTTCTGTGGCCCGAGGACTATTTCTCCATCCCATGATACCATACAGCCTCTCGCTGCTTCCCATGGATGTGAGAAGAGGGAAAGAGGGCGCCACCATCCATGGGGCAGGGAGGACCTGCCCCCCACAGTCTGCGCTCTGCACCCGGCTGTCTCTGGCACACAGGAGCTGGAAAAGAAGTCATGACTGGAGGTGAATTGCTTACCTTGGTTGTCGTAGGAAGTGATGACCTGGGTCTGCTGAGGATGCTGCTTTTCTGCCAGGTTTCCTATTTAAGGAAGACAGAGGGACCTGCAGTGACCACTGGGACCACAGTGGAATTTTCCCGGGGTGGGTAGAGAATGGGGAGCTGCGTGTGTCCACAAGAAAGGCAGGCTGGTGAGGGCCCCGTTCATCCCAGGGCTGGCCTGGACACATGCCCGCCCATCTGCACGGCCCCACAGCGCGCCTACGCAGGAATCGGCCGTCACACCTCTGAACACAGAAGCAAATGACGGTGGGCCCGGGGCACACAGCCTCACACCACCCAGCAGGTGCCAACACAGATTCTTGAAAGGTTTTTTTGGTACTTTTACTTCTAGCTGTTTTTGATTATTGGAGTCATGGTTTTTAGTTTTCTTCATAGTTTTCAAAATATATACAGGGTCTGGCACAAATAACACTCCTTTTTTTAATTACAAAATCTTTTATTACAAAATCATAAGCATGTAATTCTGTAACATAACAATATCACACTCAAGCACACCATATGACATTTTAGGTGAAATGTTCAAATTAAAACTATAAATTATTACACCCATTGTATTACCTTACCAACCATACTCAGGCAGGTGTTACTTCTGCCAGACGCTGTATATCCAAACTTTTATAGCATTATGAATGCAGTTCTTTGGATTGTTCTTGAGGGTACTAATGAGATTGTCTTCCTTTTTAAAAAATTTTTTTGAATTTATTGGGGTGACATTGGTTAATAAAATTCTATAGGTTTCAGTGTACAATTCTATAATACATCACCTATATATTGTATTATGTTTTCACCACCCAACACAGACTCTTCAAAAGAAGCTGGGGACACTTCCATGTGTTAAATAATCACAGCCTCAGACTTGGTGTTGCTGGGCACAGTCTTCAAAGTGCGTGGGGATGCCTGACATTCCCACCTTTTTGTAGAGCAGGCTGAGAGGTTCCTGTCCCGATTTTACAGCTAAGGGACCTGCAGCTCAGACTGGTTAACTTTTTGCCAGACCCTGCAGTTAGGGAGCATCAGATCTAGGGCTTGAACCCCAAACCTCCTGACTCTTAGCTCCACCTACTTCCTCCTTCTGAGAATGGGGCAGCCTGCCTCCTACTCCAGCCTAGGAGCAGGGTGACTTGCAGTTTGGTTCAATTGCACAAGCATTTGCAGGGCGCCTACTATGTGAAAGCGCTCTCCATGTGCTAGGAATATTTATGTCGCCAGGACACGGAGCTGTCCTCAGAGCCTAGTGTGGTCAGGCTGCTGTGGAGAGATGCTCCGTTTCTGCCATAGGCCACGAGGCTACCTGCCCCTCTTAGGGGAAGCATCGCCTTTCCTTCACATCTCCCTTTAAAGCTGCTACGGTGGCCTGGTCTTGCTGAGGCGGCCCTTGAATCTCTGCTTCAGAGGGGTCAGGGAAGGGATGGGAAGGACAGGGTTGTGGCAGCTGGGGAGGTTCCCCAACTGGTACCACCTTGGCCAGCCCTCTTCTCCCTGGCCTCCCTCCAGTCTGCAGAAAGGCTGTCAGGGCTGCCACTGGAAGTGACCACTGACACCAGTGTCTGGGCCTGGAAACAAGCATGACTGTGGGGCGCTGGCCTGCCCAGGTTCCATTCAGAAGGTGTCCCTCGTGCACCCAACCAGATTAGCTACTCAGTGCTTCCCACGCCAGGATCCAGGCAGAAGCCAGTCATGGTCGGTGGGAGGGGCACTGAGCTGGGCTGGGCTTGAGATCCACCTGGCAGGGTCTTGCCCTGGAGAAGCCTGCTGGCTCCAGCCTTCTCCTAAAAGCAGGCCAGCCAGGACCCTGAGCCCCTGGGTCACAATAGATTGATCGGCTAAGGGCCAGTCCACGGGAGCTCCAACCCAGTGTGATGTGGTATGCTGGGTTGGAGCTCAGGCCAGACTCAGGCTAGGGAACAGGGAGGCCACCTCCTGTGGGCACAGCTGGCTGCATTTCTGCTGGCCGAGGGAGGAAACAAGATCTGGGAAGGGAATCCTCAAGGAGGGCGATTAGCTGGCATAGCTGCTGTGGAGTATTTATAGTCAAGGCTGCACAATTGGTTTCCTTGTGGCTGTGGGGCGTCAGTCCCTGTGCTGCTAGGCAGACTTCAGCCAGGACCAAGGAAAGCAGCCAATCACAGCAGGGGAAGCCCGTTGCTGGATAAGCTGGCAGGGGTGGGGAGGGGTGGCTGGGCCCCAAACACCAGCTGTTTGGAAAAAGTTTGGAGCACTCCAGGCTCCCCCTACCCTGCCAACACCCCAGTCCAAGGAGTGCACAGGGCAGCAAAAGGGGGCACATGTGGCCTTTTGGATCAGTCGCGTGTTCAGCCACATTTGTGCGCACTCCACCAGCACAAGCCATCAGCTGCTTCCTTCAGTTTCCAGGGCTGGGTGCCTTGAGCACCAGCAAGGCAGATATGCACCTAGAATCTCACCATCAGAAAACACATAAAGAAGCTACAACTCTAATTTCTGCATGCACGCAAGTGTGCCATTTAAAAAATAAATAAAATTTTACTTTTATTGCACATCCTGGTGGAATGGCCTGGGTTCCACGAAGCCTCTCTTCAACCCTGCATTTACCTGAAACTCAGTTTTTGCAAGAACTACTTTAATCATCCACTTTATTGGCTGACACATTATACTAAGCCTCACTTCAAGTCTTTCAGAACAGTCTTCTAAGAGTTACAACGTCCCTTTGTGTTTCGTTGTATTTTCCCACTAAACTTCCCCCAAACCAGGGACCCTGAAGATGATAAAAAGAGGATGAATTCAGTATATTTCAACACTCTCCTGATGTAATAACGTGCCCAGAAAGACATAAGATGAATTTCAGACAACCCAGGCAAAGTAAGAGGGCTGCAACGAGCCAAGATGCTGTATCTTGTTCCTCCCGCTGCAGCCCACTTGCCCATGCGCGCATTCGCGGGGCACACATGCCTGCATGGGCTATGCGTTTCTCATGGGTCTCCGGAGGTCTGAGTCTTATCGCAATTCTCACGAGCCTGCAGCACAGTTTCACTAACTTTGGTGTCTGCTTAAGTAGAGCTAGAATGGCTCCATAGCAAGGTTAAAGAAGCCATCCCACCCTTGCATGCCCAACAGCTGGGTCTCAGAGGGGTGGCCTGTAGGGTATATGTCTTGAGAAAGACTCGTTCCCATGCACAGGGCAGAGGACACACTCTTCACTTTTAAGAAGCCGAGACTCAACTGCAGGAAATGGTGTTATGATTACAGTAATTTTAATGTAGCCCCAAAGGGCAGGGGCTCTTGACTGTATTGTCTACTGTTTCATCCCCAACAATTAGAATGCTTCTTGGCACAGTGTAAGCATGCAGACCATTGCTGAGGCAATGAATGAATGAGTTTACTTTCAGAACTCCGTCCTTCTCTTTTGTTACTGTTATAAGGAAGGCAGAGCGTAGCTATTTGGTCCTGTGCAATTGTGCTTTTGTTTCCCCATTTATGGAGGCTCGTGGAGGATAGTTCCTTCACACTGGCATTGGATGAGTCAGTTACCTGACCTAGGGTCTGACTGAGCCCCCTGTTAGGGCTCTGTGAATGGAGATCTGATTCCTATTAGAGTTCTCATACACCCACAGTGCAGTTATACTGATGTTTGTTCCTAGAGGCTGGGCTAATGAATCTCTCAAAGGCACCGAATAAGGCCCATTATAGTTGGTCCATGTATACAATTCCCAGAAAAATCCTGGGCCTGCAGGGAGACAGGTACCTGGCCCCAGAGAGAGGAGGCTTTGGAAGCGGACTGCTTTCAGATTTTATGGTATTCTGGGTCCCGGGCCAGGTAGCCACTGGCACCTCTTAGGCCTCAAGTAATATCATCTCAATGCAGGATGCTGTCCTCTCCATTCAGGACAACTTTCAAAAGATGGGTGCCCTGTGTGACATGAGCAGCCCCACCTCTGTGGGGACACGCCCAAACCTTGCATATCACATGAACAAGAAGGTACAAAAACTTATGGCACTGCCTCCACTACAGCCTCCAAGAAATCGGGGGACCTGATGCCAGGGAAAAGTTTCCAGGGTGGCCCCAGAGGCTCAGCTGAGTCGTGAGCAGCCACTTCTGTGTGGTTTAGATACCTAGAGCCAGTCTTCAAACAACTGAAACCCAATGCGTCCAGTCATTTCTCAATGTGTTGAATTCCAGAGATTTTTTTTTTTTAATGAAAAGAGAATTTACCACACAAGCAGTTTCCTTCTAATTTCTGCCATTTCCGTATTCCGTTTGCGACCCCTCCTGTGAAATAACAAGGACTGGCGTGAGGCTCTCTGTGGTGTGGAGACCCAGGCCTGGCGAGTGATGTGCTACTTGCATTTGTCTCTGGGTCAAAGTGGGGCCAGTAGAATTTGTCTGTCCTGGAATCCAAGGGAGGCTGCCCATGAATGAGATGCACTTGGGAGCATGAATGCAACCCTCAACATTTAAAACATCTTTAAAAGTATTAAAACAGTAGTTTTCAAGGCGGTGGGGTTGGTTATCAGGATCATCCAGGAAGAATTTTCGCAGTACAGGTACCCATTTTTCACTCCCATTTCTCTACTGCACAAATATGGAAGGGTTATTGTTGAAGATGTCTGCCATTTGTTTTGCCTGCCTATTTCTGTACGTGGTGAATTGCCTACTTTTAGAGTCTTGATGTGGGGTGAGAGTGAGCAAAGACTGCCTATCTCTATGGAAACAAAAAGTGGTAGTTTCCTGCTCTCCCAGCCTCCCTTGCAGCTAAAGCATGGACATGTGTGGCCTGGGAATAGTCAGTCAGTGGCACCTGTGTCTAATTCCATCTTGGGGCCTAGTGAGGCAATAGGGAAGGGAATGAAAGCTCTCTCTCTGGTGACAGTTGGAGGTGGTAGCTGCAAGGTCAATTTCCTGGCACAGAGCTGGCATACGTTCTGGCAGTGGAAACAGCTGCAATAAAATCAAGTTCCTGGTGCAAAAGGAGCACCTAATATTCCTTGGTGGCAGTTATGCTGCATAGCTCATGGTGCTGTTCCCAGCAGCTCAGTCTTAGGCCTGTTCTCCAGCTCTTTAAGCCACTCCAAGTCCCCCTTTCTGCAAAGCCCTCCATAGTCAGTGTCTGCGGTGTCTGCGACCTACCACCTGGAACCCTCACCCTGTTGGAGTAGAATGCATATGTCACATTAACTTTGGGGATAAAACCTAAAACAATGAAGCACTTTCAGACTTGGTGCAGGAAGCTTTAGGCCACCTTGTCCACAGCCAGAGGAATACGTGGGAGACCTTGAAGGCCTCCAGGCACAATTTTGAGAAGCACTGCTCCGAGGGAATGGCTGGGAAAATGCTAGGGCTGTACTGAAAAGGGGAGAGAGAACCTGCTGGCCTTGCAACCCAAACCCCTGGTGCCACACTTCTTGCCTCCTGTCCTTTTGACTCTTTTCTGTCACAAGGACACAGCAGAAAGCCATCTGGGCACATCTTCACTCCATCCTCTGCATGGTGACAGTAACTGAGCTCAGGTCCTCCTTTGCAGACCTGAGGACCTGGAGTGGGGAGGAGATACTTGGAAGTGGGCATGGGTGACTTTTGGATCATGTGCACCAACAAGAGGCCTTGGAACAAGCTGGTCTTGCTCAGCATTTCCCCTCCTTAGGTGTCGTGGGCTTGCAAACTGGCTTAGCCAGGGGTCTCCTAGACATCCCACTGCCCAGCAGGCTTTGGCTCTGGTGGATGCTCTCTCTTTCTCTGCTCTGGTGCAGAACTGTCTGACTGAAAATGTGACACAGGTCTCTCCACTGACATAGGGTCTGGAGGAAACATCTGTTAGGAAACTATTTGGAGAAAAATAGCAGAAAGGGGTCAGCAAGCGGGGTCTCCTTTCCCTGACTTATGGCAAGCGCATTGATCAGGAGTCATGTGGGGTTTGTGGTAGGTGTTTGACACCTTCTGGAGCAGTGCGGATCCCAGGCATTTCTGGGGCTTCTCCGTGTTCTTCAGCTTTTCTTGCTAGTGACAGAGCCTTTAGGAGAGACGTGATCAGAGCGGGAGGGAGAGATGAGGACTCACAGTCTGACCCAGAGCTGGGCCTCATGGAGGCCCTCTGGCTGTGCCACACGCAGTGGGAGGCCTTCTGGACTGTGGTTTGTGTAGTAGGCGCAGTCTCAATGGCCTCTGCCAATTTCCTTATTACAAATACCCTGGGTGGGCACTTTCCCTTCCTCCAGGAGCAGCTCTGACAACTAAAGAACCAACCAATGCAAACAACGTTGACCCCCAAATTCCTCCCAAGAATGGAGTACCTGTCAATATTCTCAGCTCTCTAAAATCTATTTTTTCCCTGCTTGCCTCCTCAAGGAGTCACCAGGAACTATGGGGCAGCTCGCGCCCGTGTGGCTGGTGGGGACAAAGCCACCCCATAGCATGATTGCTTCAGTGCAGCAGGTGGAAGGTGGATGTTCAATGTGCAAGGGAGCTCTGGGGACAGAAGAGCCAGGGCAGACTTTAAGGAGTTCAGGAGCTGGAGGGGAGGTGGGAGGCAGAAGCCATTTTACCGCTCGCGCTGTAGAGCACCACTCTCAAAGCGCTGGTGTACAGTCAGCCTAGTGCATGCGCACACCACTCTGCCAGGGCTCCTGAGGACGTCCTCCTAGTCCCAGGACCCAGAGGTTCCCAGACATCTGAGGGGCTTAGTTAACAGTTATTATGCGTCTCTACCCTCTTCGCGTTGTGTCTGTCTTCTCCTCTGGAGAATACAGAGGCCTAGAATCTGCTTTCCACAATCATTCTATACACAGCTGCTTTATTTTACCAGTCTACACTTTACCAGAAAGTCTGAAGGAAAGGAAAATTAATAGCTAAGTTAAGGTAGGAAGAACAGATTTCAAGCCTAACCCTATCCAAGCCTGTGTGCCCTTTACACCTTTTATGCCTTTGGTAGAAAAGGGGCACGGGGAGGGCTCAAGAGAGGGACACTGAGGCTGCGAGTTGTGCAAGGGCACAAAGGGAGCACCCCATCTTCCAGTCTGACTCAGCACGCACATTTCCCTGGGGACCCTGCACCTTGGATGGCCATATGGGGAGCAGGCTTTGGCCACCCCAGATTCAGTCCTAAGGCTCTGGCCCCCTTCTTCCGAGGCATCTTCCAACCCAATCTACACCTTTCAGAGAGTGGTTGGAGTAAACTGGCAGCCGGGGCTGGAAGCACCCACAGGCCGGCACAGGGAGTCAACTCAGGGCAATCACGGGGCTGCGCGTTGCCAAGGGACGCCAGAGCCGCAGCGTCGAGGCGCAGGCAGCCATGGGGAGAGGGTCGGTGTCGCTGACCTCGTTCGGGGGCGAGTGGGGCGCCCCCACGGCGGGTGGGCCCTAGGGAGAAGAGGCCGAGGTGCCGGGGCCTCCGGGGGTCGGGCCGGGCGCGCGTTACCTCCTCTGCACTGCGGAAGTGCGCCCGGGTCCGCCTGCCGGTCCGAGTGCGTGCCCTGCGCGGCGCGCCGCTTCTCCGAGTGCACGATCAGCAGCATGTCAATAGACACGGCGTTGCTGTCTTTCTTCAGCGCCATGGTTCCACTTCGCTCCCCACCAGCGCGCCGCGGCCGCTCGCAAGTCTGCCTGCGCTGCAAATGGCCCCGTGCGCGCCGCTGTCCGGCGCGGGAGATGGCGAGGGCGCGGGAGAGGGCGCTCCCCCGCCGCCTAGCCGCTGCGCGCTGCGTTTCGCTGACTCTGCCAAACACGCCATTAGGGCCCGCCCGGGAGGGCGCTCCCCTAATGAAGCGGCTCTAAGTCACCTTTGAAAGGAAATCCCCGACTGAGCCCAGACCTGCACCGAGGCCACGGGCCCCAGAGCCTCCAGCCCCGCGCCCCTGCCTGCTGCCCCCAGCGCTGGATGCACTTGTCCCGGACTCCAGGACTGTCCTCTGGCTGGTTGGCGCACCTCATCCTTGCCATCTCCGGGGAGGAGGAGGGGTGAGGGGGTTCCCCGAGAGGGCCCGAAGTAGACCTCCGAAAGCCATGGCAAATACAGAATCGCACAATGCTGTCAACAGTGAGAGTCAGTTCAGGAAAAGGAAAAACAGCAAGCGGGCTCCAGATTGAATCGCAAGGTGTGGAGAAACTGGCCTACTTTTGGCCTCGGCCCTATTCCTTCCTGGGTGGGTTTTGGAGGTTGACCGCTCCCTCTCTAAGAAGGACGTGGATGGGCTCTTGGGGTCAGAACATCCCCATGATTATGGCCCCCAAGAATTTGGACACATGCCCACTGGGCATCAACTTAACAGTTCTCTCTGGTCTGAAGTGAAAAATCTTAACATCTCTGTTCTTTCTAGAGGACTGGTTCCTGTATGGTGGGGCTGGGGGGAGGGGACGGGAGGAGGCTGGGGCGCAGGGAGCAGCTTGCCTGCTGTGGTCAGGGAGCTGGACCTGAGAGTCCTTCTATTTTTAGCGGGGCCTGTCCTGCCCAGCCAACAGCAGGAGGGCCTTTGGCTCCAGGTCTCAGGAGTGTTTACAGCGGCATCTGCCAGTTAGCCCCTGCCACTGTGGGCCCACCCCGCCTGAGCCAGTCCCCTAACTTAACTTTCCACCATGAGTAACTGCCAAGTTCATGGAGGCTTCTGCTCTAAAGTCCTTTCCACCTTGGCATGTTGTGACCCCACTTTGCATGGTCCCTGAGAGCTCCCTTGTCCCCCTTTGGAGGCACACTGTCTTTCTTGCAGAGGCCTGGGTTCCAGGCCCAGCTCCAGTACTTATTGCCTGTGGGATCTTGGATAAGCCATCTCCCCTTCATTTTCTCACCCACATCACAGGTATAATACAAATAAACTCTCCCAAGGCTGTGGTGAGAACGACAAGCATGTGAGGTGCCTGATTCATAAGCAGTCTCCAAGTGGTAGCTGTCATTCTTACCTCATTTTAAGGCTGAGGAAAGGGACAGAGAAAGAGACATGTCAGTGATGAAGCTGGGGGCGCACACAGCTGTACCCTCAGACTCTGAAGATCTCTCCCTTCTGACTGTGGCTCACAGTTTGGCTGCCTGTTAAGGCGGCTGTCTCATTGCATCACCACCACCCCCTTGCCCACTGGGCATCTGAGGAAAGGAAAGGTCATTGGCTTCTGACACTGTTGAACTGGAGTCCCTAGATCCTAGAGAGCTGAGCTGAGGGACCAGTGGAGGGGGGTGACTCCCAAGCCAGGTTTCTTCATGCAGTGTCCTCCCCTGTCCTGTCTTCATTAGCACGCGTGCACACGTGCATGCGTGCACACACACGTGCGCTTGTGTGTGGCTGGGAGACCGGCTAAGCCTTGCCGCTCTCTAGATGGCTGGGAGTGTCTAATAAGAACTATGGATTATTCAGAGCTGCCGGGGTCTTGGAGATCCCTCAGGCAGCTCTCCCATCTCAACGTAGCCCCATCTGACCTGGGACAGTGTGGCCTACCTCCTTCTAGGGCGCAGATCCCAGCGGAAGATCCTGTGCAGCATGTCTCCTTACTGGAAGGGGCTGAGTGAGGAGTGTGGGGAAGCTGAAGCCCCTTTACCCGAAGTTTGTGTTAATATCCTCCCACACACACTCCCCTGCTTCAGAGTGTCTCACTTAGGATGTGGCTCGCCGTGACGACGCCTCACGGGGCTGCCTCTGGAGGAGGTGATGACCTGGGGGCAGGGGGCCAACCAGGGGCCTGCCTGTTCAGGTACCCGAAAACAGCTCCTTTGGAGTAGGGCTTCTCATCTGTGACACTATGGGCATTTGGGGCCAAATAATTCTTTGTTGCAGGGCGATATCCTGTGCATTGTAGCTGCATCCCTGAGTTCTACCTACTAGATGCTGGTAAGAACCACTTCCCAGTTGCGACAACCCAGAATGTCTCCAGATGTTGACATGTTTTTCTGGGAGACAAAAATGCAGTGAGAACACTGCTTTGGAGCAAATCCATGAAGTAGGGGTGATGTTGCCTTAATTGCTCTGGGAGATGCTGCTGCTTCTGGATCCCAAAGCTGCCCAGAACCTGGAGCCACTCCCTGAGGCTCCCGCCCATGGCCCTCTGTCTAGCAGCCGGCTTCTTGGGTCTGCAGAGCTGCTCGCTTCTAGGAGCGTGGGCACAAAGATGAGATGCCCTCCTCACTCCCACCTCCTCCTATCCCTGGCCTTTGTTGACCCATCCCTTCATCCATAGTGCCTGAAGAGGAGACACCACAGGGAAGGTGATGCAGCTGAGGGCATGTGGAGGTATCCAGAAAGAGAGGGAAAGAGGAGGGAAGACCGAGGCTATGAGATATAATTCAGAGGGCCTACCCTTCTGCTCAACGCCCCCCTCCAATTGTTCCTGTAAACACTGGGACAAGGAACATACACTCCGCCTGTGATTCACATCTTGAGCTTCTACAGACCCGTGTCTCCCTCTTTCCCCGATGACCCACACATGCTGCAGCCACACCATGTCCATCGTTCCCCACACACCTCTGGCCTTTCCACTTCTTGGTTTTGCTCCATATACTGGTCCCTCCATCCGGCCACCATTTTGAACAACATGGGATTCAAGAACTTCTGTATTTTGACCTAATTCATCTCTCTCCTTGTCTTAGGGCCTGATGAGGGGATGTCTTCATTCTCAGGCAGAACCTTAATTATTTTCATCACAATGAGTTGGAAATTTAGGGCACCAAGGGACAAACAGTGGTTAACCTGGCTGTACTGTCGCCTTTATCTTCCATCACAGGTGATGGTCCGGTGTGTCCTGCTGTCATTCATACTGGCTCCGCCCTTTTGCTCAGAGGTGGGGTTCTGAGCCCTGAGGTGACTTTGGGTCCTGGAGATGGGCAGTGGGTGACGGGGGGAGGGGGGGCTTGCTCCTAGTAGATGATGCCCTCGCCAGAGAGGTGTGTGTTCTGATTCACATTGTTGTTTTTCCTCAGAAATAAGAGTTCTTCGGGGACCAACAGCCATCACTCTTTTACCTCTCCAGAGATCCCAATGGGCAAGTTTCTCTCGGCCCTGCCGAGACATATTAGGCACGCCAATACATGAAAGGCTTTTAGCAGGGGTTTGTAAACATGACGTGCTTTTTCTCCATTGATGCGGCGAGGAAGGGGCACACTGAGCGTGGGACCAAATCCTGGTCTCGCAATGCCCTCATGTCCCCTTAGATGGGCAGACACCTTCCCCAGAAACCTTCTTGACAGCTGATATATACTTCTTGTGGTGTCTTGGGCAACCTGGCTAGGCTCACTTCCTCTTCTGAGGCTTTGTTATTGCTGCCACCAATTGCTGGGAGGCCTTGTCGGACCCCCCGGCAAGTACAGTCTAGCCATCCTTTGAGGCCTGACACCACCCTCACCTCCGCTCTGAAGCCTTCCCTGTCACCAAGTTCTCGGAGCTCCTGGGGAATGCCTACTCTCTGAGGTGCCTCTCTTTTGATCATCCCAATAGTTAGTAGGACTTGAAAGGTTATCCTAGCTCTGTCTCTATGCTCATTAAATTTAGGCCTGTCATTTCCCACTGGGGCAGTTACTCCCGGCAAATATACGTTTCCACACTGCATCTCTTGCAGGGTCACCTTGGGCAATGTACTTAACCTCTCTGAGCTTCAGTTTTCCTCATCTGTCGAATGGGTAAGGGCGTGGCTGGGATTAAATGAAATAAAGCATGTAGTTATGACTTAGTTAAAGATACAGCAGCTTTCTATATTTTGGTCAGACCTCTGTGTGGGTCCTGCTCTGAGGAGGGTCATGTAGATATGGTTCCATAGTTGGGGAGGGGGACAGAAGAAATGGGAGGCATCTCTGACTTTCTTGTGGAGCAGGAGGTTGCCTTCCCTTCTGTGTCACTCTTATGTCACTTTCTGCCATTACAGAGATACTCACTGAGCCACAGAATCCAGCCCTGGCAGGACCGACATGAGATTTGTACAGCCTCACCCTCTGCAGCAGAAGTGAAGGTTTGGCACAGCCGTCCTTCCCTCCCCCCGCCCCCTCACTACCCTCTGTGAATGGTGTGTGCATCCAGTGGGATGTGCCTCTGGACTATCTCCATGTTATATATGAGAAGACTAAGGCTGAGAGGCCTGCAGTGACCTATCCAAAGTCCCACAGGTGTCTCACAGGCAGCAGGTGACACCCTAACTCTTGACACCCTACCTTGCATGCCTCCAAAACTTGTGGGCTGAGCTCCTCCCTCCCCCTTGGCCATCACATGCCTGTGAGCTGAGGCGGCGTAGGGCCCTGGTCCAGGGTAGAGCAGCTGCCAGCCTGCAGGGAAGATGGTCTTAATAGTCATGATAACGCACCTCGAGCCAGGGGCCTAAGATCTCTGCTGAGGCTCTTGGAAAAAGTCTTTGAGCTCAAGCCCTGAGCTGGATCTTTGGGGACAGACTTCTAGGGCTCTGCTGCATGAGTGGTGGCAGTGGCAGTGGTCACAAGCTGGTGGTCAGGTGCACCTGGCAGCCAGCAGGAGCAGTGAGGTCGCCCTGCCAGGGATGCAGAGGCCTGCCGTTTTCAGAGCCATGACAAGGAATTTTGTGCTGCAATAAGCTCCACAGCATTCAACAGTGAGGTCAGTTAAACCATAAAGAGGCTCTCCAGTCCTGCTGGGTTTGCCGCCAAGATGCTGCCCAGCCCTGGCAGCAGCTTGTTTTTGTGTTCCTACTATGTGCAATGACATTATGATGAAATGACAGAGTAAGTGCAGGGAAAGGCACATGTCCTCCTAGACAGGAGGGTCCAGGAAGGCTACTAGGTGGAGCTGACATCTGAACAGTGATCTTGGGGGTGAATGGGTAGGAAAGAGCCATAGAGGAAGGGCG